ATCTGACTATCTGCACCAGCAGCCCCACCTGGGAAACACACAGCGGCCACTGTGCACCAGCTGCCCCACTACACATCTTCCAGGGTGATCTTTAAGAGGCTTGGCCTGTGCAAGCCTGGAGAGGAATTATTCCAGGACACAGGAATTTCAAGTTACCTTATCAAACCTGAAACGTTTTTACACGTTACCCAAACAATAAGTACTGTAGCCTGAGCTATGAAAAACAGACCAGTCCCAGCGCCAAGGGACTAAGAAAAACAGGTGAGCTTTTCCTCAAACCTTCTACACTAGCAATAAGAGCAATCACGCCAGCGCCATTCAAATACACGGGAACACTACTGCTTATCTAAGGTCTACAAAACATAAACCCAGATAAACAGAGGAAGATGTCTGCTGAAGGAATTATCTTACGCGAACTTTAATTCATTTGAGCTTTTTTACCTCCTGTAATAAATACCACTGAAGACTTAAAGCATCAACCAAAGTACTCCACTGCCATCTAGAGGAATATAGGCGAACAAGGTCGATTCGTGTTGAACGTAAAAAAAATAAGTTTTGTTTTTCACATTTCATCTAAAAATAACTCACCTTTGCAGCTCGTCTTCATTTTCACGATTCTCCTTTTTTATTGCTGATACGACACCATTCACGTCAATAATTTTTCTTCTTCGTCCTCATTGTCGTACAACAGCCTTCTGCACCGCTTGCCAAAACTGTCGTAAAAACACTCGTGGCTTCGGTCATTCTGAAATACGGCAAGAAGCCCAAAGAGTCGGAAATGAAAACATGGCGGCTTCATTGATCTGCAGCGAGACAGTAAGCAGGTTGGAATTACCAATTAATGTTAAACTGGAGTGTACAAACAATTGTGTGAAAAAGAAAGTATTGTTTTTATGATGTACTTTATGTTGAAATTATTAAAAGTGATTTTTCAGGACTTTGTATCATAAACGTGTGTTTCTAACCGGATGAACACGTTCAGAAACAACGATATTTAATCTTTTAAAGTTAATGTACAACGTGAAAACGTATTCTATTTCGGAATTGTCACTGCTGTGTATGTTATCGCCTATTTTTTTTTTTATTCAAGACATCAGTTAGTTCCTGGATTGGAGCAGTGTGTTGTAACTTAATTGTCAAATGCGTGACACCTGAAAAGCAATCTGACTGTGGCAGTGTGTGCTGTGCTGTGCGAGTGATAGATGTCTGATTTGCTGGAGAAAGTTTTAAAGCGGTAACATAAGGCGAATTGCACTGTTCATTGCTGCGTGACTGTGTTTTTATATATAGGGTGAGCTCTGTTCTGAACAGAGACGTCAAGCAGTTTGGAAAGAAGTACATGTTCGATTCCGACGAGGAAACGTGCTGGAACTCGGATCAGGTAAAATTAAATGAATATCTCCATCCATTTTCTAACCACTTCAACAGGAGCGCTGGAGCCCATCTAGTCAAGACAGGATATCCCCTGGAGGGGATGCCAGTCCATCGCAGGGCACACACACACACACGTTTGCACTGGTGCCAATTTTCCCAGAAGACAGTTTACCTGCTAGTATGCCTTTGGACTATGGGAGAAAACACCCGGAGGAAACAGGGATGTGAACAGGGAGAACATGCAAACTCCACACAGACAGCACCCCGGATCCAGAATTGAACCCCGGGCCCCAGAGCTGTTAGGCAGCAGTGCTCACCACTGCACCACCTTGCTGTCCTTAATGAATATTTATTTTACTTTTCTGTCACCGAATGTCTGCATAAAGATTAGTGCTTGTTTGCCGTTTTCACTTATTACTTTGTCTAATTGTCTAATTACAAGCAGTAAGGAAAATCGAGCAACAATGCGGTTCCGTTCAAGTCTGCCTCCCTCTGTCGCTGTTATGTTTGGCTCTAGGGCTCCCCCCAGTGGGTGTTATTGGACTTCCCACAGGCCGTGAGGGTCTCGGAGCTGCAGGTGCAGTTTCAAGGCGGATTTGCAGGGAAAACGTGCAGAGTGGAAGGTATCGATCTCACACGCCTACCGAGACTTCTTTGATGAGCATTTTTCAGTTTTGTTTTCTGAAATCACTGCAGTAGTTTTTGCAGCGCTTAAAGTGATCTGTAAAAATCAGCAGTTGATCACCCAGTGAAGCAGGCGGGTGTCTACATTTTATCGTTTGAGGCATGAACAGTGTCATAAAAGCCATGCATTCTAACACACTGCATATCATCACCACCCTGTGAGTTTTAATATTGCCATTTTCTTCC